GGCAATCTATGAGAAATCTATGAAAATATTTCGTCACCCAGTTAGATACCTTTGCAGCTACCAGCCCTGGCTAGAGATATCGCAGACGTCGCTATTAACTTGTAATTAAATATTTTATTGAATGTCAGAATGATTTACCACCTTGATATTCAATTATTTTTTCTAACTGTTCGATCTTTGTATTAATAATTATAACAAAACTAGTGGAGTAAGTTTACAAAAAATAATTGAATATCATGACGGTGAAATATCCTGGCATTCAATAATTATTTAAAATGTTTGTTATTTATTGGTTTTATTTTGTAAAATAACCACAGAACAACAAATACTAGTAGAAGTGGTTAGTTAACATCTTACGCGTGACCACAGTATGGACCGTTGCCCATACTTAAGCTCAATTTGCCATTTTCGTTTTGTACGGTATAGTTATCATTCTCTAAAAATCCGAGAAAACGCCTTATTGTGCTCTTTTGGAGTGCAAAAATGATAGCTGCACCAAATATATTACCGGTGGTGGTATTTCATATCATCGGATCTTGTTTTAATAAATTTTCAATTTTCTGTTAGTGATATCGAATCATTTTTTGTTACAAGAAACGAAAGTAAAGCTTATACCCTATGTATATGTCACTGTGTGTCTGTTTTGGAGAACTAAATTAAAACACCATTTCGTCGTCGTTCAGCAATTAACCGCTAGATGGCAGCACATTGATTTAAATTTCAATATGACATCAAAACTTCGTAACTTGCAATAATAGGTACTGACGGTATTGAACTTCCAACGATATACCAACAGTTTACCCTGTCTGTTTCGTTCAGTTTGAATTCTGTTAACAATACAGAATTTGTTATTTTTTTCTAAATTTGCAACTACGACCAACTTCATTATCAAGATTTTGTAGTGTTTTATCGGTTCTGATAGTAATCGAGGCTTAAGGCAATTCAATTTCTTTTTTCTTCCGTGGAAATAACACCACTAGTTTGTTTTAATTATTAAATATTATCGAACACAAAGAAAATATTTGTTTCAAAGTACAACTAACGCCATTCAGCATGCGTGATGGAACTAAATGTAGAACTACTGGCGATAAAGTTGTTACACTTATTGTAATTCATAGATATTTACATATTAAACTCTTACTAATCAAACTCCTCGCTGTTCGTTTTCTTCTTTGTAACATATTACAATTTTTTAAATTATATCGTTGAATAAAATTATAAATTTAATAACTGTCGGCGAGTTGAGATCATATTTGCATGATTTTGTGTGGAATACTAATAAAAACAATTTGCATGTGAAATATCGTGAGCGTGTGTACAATATTTCATTTTGCGAAGTGAATATTTCACAAATTGTCAACGACTTTGTAACAGCGACAAGTAAACAATTTTCAAGACAATCATTAGCAGAGAATTTTTAGCTGTGTTTTCACTTTAATCCTGGCAGCTTAAGATTCTATACAGCCTGAAATGGCTTTGGTTGATTCCGCATACTAGTCAAAGTGTTGAGTCAATTACGTTGGAAAAAATATATCGTAAAATTGAGGATAAACACTAATTACTTACTACACTACTTACTATACTATACTATACTTACTGTTCAGGCCCAATTTACGTCGCCGTGGAACGTAACAGAAACGAATTTTTGTAATGAAATTAATAACAATGAATTTTATGTCAAATGTGTAACGTATGAACTAGAAAACTTTTTATTTCGTCGACCTGGTGGAAAAAAAAAATTTGTGTATGTTCGAATTTGTATTCTTATCAAACGTAGAGGAGTTATTTCACAAAAAATCTCAATAAATAATTCTTTATTTCTCCTTTAAATAGATAAATATAAATATTATTAGTCAACATCACATACGTTGCTCTGAATCCCAAAGTAAGTAACTAAAGCTCTCGTGTTAGGGAAATCGGAAACAACGACGGTACCACAAACATCTAGATTCGAATATAGAAAAGATAAAGTGACGATCCCATTACCACGTATGTCAATCTAAGCTTAACCTTTATGCACGATGAACCGCTTCAATCATTCGTCACTAAACGTGATCGAAGGCGGGCAGGCAAGGAGATTGTTATAATCTTAGAATAATAACGCATACCAATGATTGTTTCATATCAAACGAACTGTCACAAGTGAGGCAAAAATCAAATTCATGTAGGCTAGTTTTAGTAGCAGGTTAATTTTCGGTTTTAGTGAATATTTATATATAAATACAAGTTGAAACGCGTTACTTCCTTGTGGAATGTGATGTTAGTATCTATTTTATGTTTGTCTGACGTATTTGTACACTCATTTACCGCACATTTCGTCATTTTTAGCTAAAATTCTTGATCTGTTCGCGGTGCAAGTTGACCTTGAGCACTGAAGGCCCGCTCGCTCGTGTAGCCATTGGGCGCGCTTCAATTTGCCTGTTTTTATGATTGTCTGTTTTTATGATATTAAGCGATTGTCTGTTTTTATGATATTAAGTGACAGGGGGAAGTCATCTTGCGCCTGGTGGTCAGCGACACGCCTGTCCATGGCAGTTGCAGTGCCACTCGGAACTTTAAGTTGAAAGATCTAAGGGACACTGCCATTGCGATTGTCACCCTGAGATATCCCACGTAAGTTGTTGTAAGTCAAAAGTTCGTAGTAGTAGAGCTGCTCCTTGTGAAAGAGTTCATCCAATGTAGTACTACCACCTTACCTATACAACCGCCAAGCAGTAATATCAGCATTACGGTGTTCCGGTTTTGAAGGGTAAGGGTGCTGGTGAAATTAAAGGCACATGGGACTTGTCAACTTATGTCTCAGGGTGACGGGCGCAGTGGCAGTGCCCCTCGGATCTTTGCGATTTAAAGCTCTTAATGGCACTGCAGTCGTTATGGACAGACGTGTAGTTTATTATTAGGCGCACGACTTGTTAATCCCGTCACTTAAGATTGTAAAAAAAATAGCATTTTTCCTTTTTAACTTAAACATATCCGTTTTTATGCAAATTCTAGGTTTCATAATACTTAATTACTTAGTGTTATGTTTACTTTCAAACATGGAACCTGTAGTATAGATAAGAAACGATACATTTAAGCTAAAGAGCAAAAGTTGGTATTTTGACTTACAACAACTTACGTGGGAGGTATCGTAAGTTGATAAGTCTTATGTGCCTGTAACTTCACCAGCACGCTTACCCTTCAAAACCGGAACGCAGTAATTCTCAAACTACTGCTTGGTGGCAGAAATAGGTACCTAAGGTAGCAGGACTTCCATGGACGAACTCTTTCACAAGAAGCTCTACTGCTACTAAATTCTATTCCTTAGTTACCTTTCTGATTCACGTGTCACTTGATATGTATCGATGTCTTGTGATAAATTTAAATACAAAATATCTTTATTCCTTTAATATCGTCAAATTTATAAAATACTCATTACTAAGATGGGAATCTTAGTAACGAATGAATAAGTATTTGAGAAGATCGTCTAAGAAACTCTAGTTGCTCTTTGTAAATCGATACTTGTTCCTTGAATCGCAGCGAGCAATAGCTTTCTCCGTAACAATTCAAATTGCACAATCTACGAACGGAATTACTCGGCTGTTCCTAAACCATTATGCATACAATTTGAAACTACCATGAAACATACGCTTCTGCAGATCGATTCGTGATGTATTCGAAAATTGTGAATTTCGATCTGACCTTCGGTCATTGTCGTCAAGTCAAAGCAATAATTCAGTCTGTGTGTGTCTGAGTATGTCTGTGTGTGTCTGTGTGTGTCTGTGTGTGTCTGTGTGTGCCTGCGTGTGCGTGTGGGTGCGTGTGGGTGCGTGTGGGTGCGTGTGGGTGCGTG